GTGGGGGAGGGGCTCCGCAGGTGTTGTGCGGAGCCCCTGTTAAAATATTTTGGAGAGAGAGAAGAGGCTCGGTGGGTAAGGCAGAAAGGTTTCATCCAAGGAGGCAGAAACTGGTGTACGGACCCATGGGCCAAGAACATTTTTAAGAGGTTACAAAAAAAATAACAATACGCAACAGGTGCCAGGTAGCCAGCGAAGCTTAAGATACTCACCCTCCAGCCCTTTATAAAGTTTGCAGACCCTGGGCTTTATTTGACACCTCGGGGCTCCAGAACAAAACTGGCGAATCTGAAGGCCCTCCCTGCCTCTTGGACACCTCAAGCCAAACCCTTGCCTTCTCCCGACCCAGACCTTGCCAGCAACCCCCCCCCCCACCACGCGGCTCTCACGCAGGGTAGGGTCGCTGTGTAGGTGCGAGGGCGCTGCTGGTCGAAGCTTTCCCGGAGTATAGCTGGCTCTCCGCTGGCGGCCAGATTGGTTCAGTGAAACTACAAGCCTCCTGGGCCCAGCCAAGCTCTGAAAGTGGGCGAAGGAGTCCCTCTTACATTTTACGTTGGTCAGACCTGGACCCCCCGAGAGCACTCCGGGAAGGATCTTCAGGATCCTTCAGGAACAAGGGTAATCCACATTCCAACTAGTGGGTAGAGTCTGTGCAAAAATACTCTCTCCAGGAACTTTTCCTCTCTGGCATTCTTTTTTATTTTTATTTTTTATCATTTTTTTTTCTAACATTACGTTACTTTATAGGAATTTATTTTCCCACCTGTCAATCCAAACCACCTTAAAAGGTGATTATCTGCTTCTTCCTGAAAACCCTTTTGGGTAGGGGGGGGGGGCCCCCACTCCCACCACCGCCCTGGCCAAAAGAAACATATTCTCAAAAAACATACCAAGTTCAATACGTTTTGCCAAATTAAATTTCATGTGGTGGCTCAATTTTTGTGTCAAAATAATCCTTTAGATTTGACGCTGACAGGCTTGGGTTGCTCTTTTAAGACCAGGTATGTGTGTGAGAACTGGATATTTTTAATTTTCAAAGTGTAGGAGGAGGATTAGGAATTTGAATGAGTCTTTGGCTTCCGGTTGCCCATTTGTCTTCAGAAGCATGGCTCGCCTTTCAGCGTCTACACAGACCAGGGCCCAGGTCCCCATTATCAGAGCAAAATGAAGCCCTCTTGATTTAATGGCTACCACTCTGGCCTGGAGGAAAGGATCAAAGCTTTTCTCCCAGACCCGGAGGAGCAAGAACACCCCGCCAGGCTTGGGGGCACCCTGGCAAAGACAGGCTCATGCTGGCCCCTGGCAGAGGAAGTTTGTGCCACACGACATGCCGTGTCTTGACCGATGCCCCGTCTCGTCTTCCTTGCTGATGGCGAGAATCCTGAACATGGGTGGCACAAGTTAGAGGCGGGGTCTCTGCTGTGAAAGTCATTGGTTTTGGTGACCACCCTCTTCGGAGAACACCCTTGCTGAAACAGAGAGCAAAAGTTTTCTAAGTCAGCTTGATGATCTCCCTGAGCCTTGAACCGCTTTTCACGTACTGTCTCGGCTCTCTCTCTTTTACTTTAATTCCTGTGGCATGCCAGAAGTTAGACTCAGCTTCCCCAGATGTTCATCTTGCATTGATTCGGGGCGGGGAGGATCTTCTTGTGAAGCTTTAAGTATTCGGGGGAAACTGGTCACGGAGAGAGAAACCACAGGACCCCCTGGTCATGATCTGACAATGCCGATTTCAGTTTCTTGGCCGGGTAGCGACTGCAGGGCCTTGGAGCGATGTCCATCACCGCGTGAACTTGAGAACAAAGTTGCCCACTCTTGGCATTCCCTGCTGCTTTGATCTCACGGTGTGGGGGCCCATGCCGAGCTCTGGGTGCCCAACAGCAGGCTCCTGGGTCGTGGGTAGCGGTACCCTGTCCGTCATGCATGAGATCGCTCACTAGCTGCTCACAGAGGGCTGCACTGTGCCAGCCTCTTCTGTTCCCCACCCCCCACACCTCTCGCCAAAAACCATTCCAGCCCCTTCTAGAGCCTTTTCCCTCCCGGATAAGCCCAGAGGATGCCACAGAATTAACCTCTTCAGGACAGCCCTGGACTTAGGCACCCCTGTCTCTCCACACCGGCCAGATCCCAGAAGGTTCATGACTCGCCCTGCTCCCCTGGGACCATTTCTCCCCAGTGAGAAGAAATGCTACATCGTCAAGGTCATAGAAGTAACCTTACCCAAGGTGTCTGAAGAGAGACGTGCCCTCTGTTGACAGGAAATGCCCGGTGCTGGAATACATTTCACCCAGCGCTCCTCTGGCTTGCCACCTGGCGGGGCTTCCCGCAGACACAGCAAGGACAGGAGCACTAGGCAGGCTAAGGAGTTTGTGACACAGCATGGTGCAGGTTCACCTGCTCTGCTCCCACCCCGCAGGTTCTTGCCGATGCTGCATGCCAAACACAGGTAGTTGATCGACCCCCACGCTCAGCTACTTGGTCTTACTGTGTGCGTTCCGTAACTGAATCCCCGTGTGTAGGAGTTCACGCCGCATCGATAGATCTACAGCTGACTCACATCATCCTGTGGGCCACTTCTGTCCCACCCACATCCACACCGTGTCCCCCGAGTCCACAGCGGACCACCTTGACCCATCTGGAGTGGGGCTGTGCGGCGGTCCCCACAGCAGACCTGGACGTGACCACCTTTTGTCTTGTAGCCGGTGCCCTGGCCTCAGTCAGTCTCTTAAATAGGAGTCTTTATAACCAGCCCTCCAGCCCTCCGCGGTCCTTTGTGTTGGCCATGCCACACAAGAAGGTGGCTGCTTCCTCCCCCCTCTTCCGACACTGTAATTGTTGTTTTACAATTGAGTGCCTTAATAATAGTTTACGAATACTGTGTATTTATGGGAAACTGTTAAGCTCTCACCTGTGATTGGACCTTTGCCTTGTCGGTGGTGGTTGGCGTGCGGGCGGAGCTCGCCCTGCCCCACGCATGCGCTCATCTGCTGCGCGGTCGTGCGTGGGGTGGGGGTGGGGGGACCTGCAGGTGTCCAAGAGCATCAGGGGTTCCTGCAGGGGAGGCAGGCGCTGGCTCACGCCGCGCCCCACAGTTGCAAGGAAAGCACGGAATTTGGTTTGCTAGCCAGCTGGGGGGTGGCATCCCGCCCCATCACATGATTGTACTCTTGTCTCATAGAGATCTCTTACCACCGAGGCCACCCTGTCTCCCCCCCACCCCGTGCCGGTGTCCTGAGCTGTCTGCAACAAAACGCAGGTGCAGGCACCACCCCCTGCAAAATCAGGAACTCTACAAGATAAGTTCTTTGGTTTTTAGAAGCTGCCAGTGGGTTCCAGCGTGTTGCGTTACGGTATCGATGATTTTTTTTTTTTATTATATTGTTTTTCTTCTTGTTTTTTTATATATATATATTTAAAAGGCAGTATCTTTTGTACTGTGAATTTGCAGTAGAAGATGCATAACGCACTTTTTCTTCTGTTGGTGCGTACTGTAATAGTTCGTGTGCTTCTCGTGATGAGAATAAACTTTTTCTTTATACGTGTTTGATGACCTATGAACTTGTGCAAAAGGAAACTGCTTCTTCAATCCTTGCCAAGACAGACATAGCTCCGTCATCCCGACAGCCAGTCTTTACTGAGCACCTACTGTGCGCTAAGCCCTGTACAAAAAACCCAGACACGTTAGACCGAAGAAAGAACCAAGGGCAGAAATGTGAGCTCCTCCAGGAATTGTCTGGTTTTCCTCCTGGTTTTGTCAGTGAGGAAGAACAGGCCCACTTGCGGGTGGTCATGGGACTTGGACGCTGGCTGGTGTCTCTTCTTGCACAAGCAGAAGACAGCTAACTAGCGTGTGCTCCTCAGACCCACCTAAGCTATGCCAGCCACACGTCACAGGGGAGGGGACTTGTGGAGGCTAATTATCGCTAGCGACCGAGGCAGGAATCCCAGGGAACTTCAGTTGCTACACACAACAGAGGCTTATCTCACGCCCAGGTCACAATCCATGGCAGGTCAGGACCTTTGGGTGGCTCTCCAGCCTTGGTGACTCATGAAGCTGAGCTACTTGGCGTTTTAAACCCTGTGCTATCTCGGTGTTCTTTGCTTCTGGCTGTGCAGTCAGGGGAAAGAGCATGGGGACTCTCATTCTTCACGGCCTTTGGACGCAATACGTCACACGTCCAGACCGCCGGGAGGTGTGCGGGCACACGTGCTTGGCGGGCAGCACCGTCTGCCACAGGGACCTTGGCGCGACCACTGAATTCCAGTGCCTGTGGATCCGCGAAATACTTCGTTGAGTTCACCCCGGCTTGCTGGGTCTGTCACCTGGACTCCCAGAAGACAGATGGATAAACCAGAATGCAAGCTGATTACTTTAGAACAAGAATTATTAGCCGTCAAGCAGGTCAGATTACTCTCCCTTGCCAATTAGCACATTGAGTCCTCTAGGCGAATCTACATTTGAAGCCAAACTATGGTCAGGAATTGCTTCTTGAGTATGAAATCAAAGCAGAAGTTTTGGGGAGGTGGTTCTAATGGGCCACACCAGGAAGCTGCGGGGCAGTCCTTTCTGTAAGATGTTTTTGAAATCAAACCACCGAGGGTCATGGTTCAGGACAGTCTTCGTTGGCAAGGCTGGGGACACCTCATAAATTCTCTTCAGGCTCCAAATATGAATCAGAGCCCAGGGATCGGGCCCAGCACTCTGTATGTTCCCAATGGATTCCCTGGGAATTCTAAAGGCCAAGTTCAAACACCATCAAAATAAGAATGTGACACAGTGGAGCAGGCTTCCACTTAGCTGGTTACAATCACATTCCATGCATGCTTTCTAGAGACAACACCCACATCCCTCTAACAGAATGCGGGGGTGTTGCCAAAACCCACCAGATACTCATTTACCCAGGGCCCTAGCAGAATGTTCCTACAATTGGCTGTCCTTACCCCGATTTCACCCTCAAGAGTAACAGTCCTGAGGTGGAGCGAGATCCCAGATCACGCCTCCAGCCGGGCCCCCCCCCCGCCGCCCCCCAGTTTGTACAACCAGCCCCCCCCCGCCGTTAGTTTTGCACACGAGGATGCTCCTGCCTGTTTGTGTTTACGCCCGGAGAAGCCCCTCTTGGCAAGATGCTTGGAGGGGGCTCCAGAAGGCAGAGCTTGGAGAACAGCATTTCAGAAGGCAGTGGGAGGGGAAGCCCTTCCTAAAGACGTCTCCTGCCTAGGAAAGACCAGCCACGCACCCTGCGCCCCAGCGGTAGGGAGCAGATTCTACTGGTCCTTCTGTGTACCCAGCACTTCACGGAAGGAGTCCCACTGAGTCCCATTGAGTCCTTCAGACAGTCGATGTTACCCGCAGTTTACGCGTGAAGAGACAGGCCTGCAGAGTGTAAGTGATTGGCCCGTGGTCACATGTGGAAAGCGGTGAAGCCAGTCAGTACTGCTTCTTCCCCACCTAAAACCTTGCCAAGCAAGCTGAAGCTGCATTCTTGATCTCCCTATAGGTGTCAGCAAGAAAGCACAGGAGTCAGAAATGAAGCCTCCCTCCCGCCCCTGGGAAACCTGACCTACGTCCAGCTCCAAAGGCTATTTGGACAACATAAGGTGTGTGTCTCTTGCCCAAGTCGTATCCACCATTTTTGGTGGGTTGTTTTTTTTTGTTGTTGTTTTTTTGCCTTTAAAGGGAAACTGCTCCTGCATCCTGAAGTATATCTATAAAGGGTCCCATTTCAGCTTGAAAGTCCTCTTGTTGTACACGGTTCCAGCAGATAAAATGTTGGTGTTGGCACAAGCAGCCTCCGGGCACAGAAAAGGATGCAGGGGGCCCTGGTGCTAAGAGACACGTTCTCCTGCAGGTGGTATGCTGGAGGTGGTGAGCTCCCTCTAGTTTTGAAATCGGATATCAATGGGTTAAGAACAATGTTACCTACCTCATGGAGCCGGTGATTTGAGAGTTAGCCGATAATGTACGGAACCCCCTTTTGCCTGGCATGCCGTCCACGCCGAATCGACGGTGGCCGTTATTGTTGGTACTGGGCAGGAGGGACGGAGGGGAGGGAGGCAGGAAGGAAGTAATGTACACCGAGCACCTACTACTGACAAGCGGTGGTCCGCACAGCAGATATGAGCCCGTTTTACAAATGACGGTTGGAAGCTCAGAGGGTTAGGGAGTATGGGTCAGAGCCCCACAGCCAGAAAGGGACAGAGGTCCAGGGTGTCTGACTCCAAATTCATCTACTTTCTACCCCACCACCCTCTCCCCAAAGATAATAGCCCACCGTGTACTTAGTGGAATGCTTAGCATGGCAGGTGCTCAATAAATACCTCATGATTGTGAACGAGTGAGCAAATGAATGAAACACGCTGTGACAGTGAACCCTAGTTTCATTCACCAAGGCCTAGAAAGTTTGGGGACACCCATGCCTGCCTAAACCAAGTTCCTCCGGGGCAAGGGCAGTGTCTGTCACCACCTGGACCCCAGCAAGGGCTTGGCACATTTGACTGAAACTTAGGTCAATACGGGGCATTAGCTATGACTCTAAGAATCCTGAGTTGTTCAGAGTCCAAAAGAATCTGAAAGGTCACCCAAGCCAGGTCCCTTTATCACATCCATCCATTCTTGCATTCTTCCCCCATTCTCAGCTCCCCTGCCATGTGTCATGCCCTGGGGACAAAGAGAAGGCCATCTGTTTCATCCCCGGGGGGTCCTGACAGAAAACCCTCTTGCAAAAGACAAGAAGGAAATATACCACCTGCTAACGGAAATGGGAGTTGGACAGGTAGGATTCAAGGTTTATGTTTTTTCCTCCTTTTACCTATTTTCCAACATCTGTGCAGCAAGCAGGGTTGTGTTACTTTTATTAAAAAAGTGGGGGGGGCGTCTGGCTGGCTCAGTCAGAAAGCATGGGACTCTTGATCTCAGGGTTGCGAATTGGAGCCCCATTTGGGGGTACAGAGATTACTTAAATAAATACAAACTTTTACAAAAATAAATAAATAAAGTTAAAAAGGGAAACATAAAGAGCTAATGAAAGGATGCTTTTGTGTTGAGCTACAATTCGCAGGACAAGCTCCCAGGCTCCTGGTTCCAGGGGACCGGGCTAGGCATTTTGCGGGGGAAGGTCTTTGGGCCCCTCTGATGAGCTAGCACCGCCCGGGAATGGACAGGGAGATCCCGGATGGCAGTGCCTCACTACCCTGGTCTGTGAGCTTCTCCAGGCTGCTCAGACCCACCCTCTGAGTATCTGGCGTGGCAGGGCAGCGTCCAGGGCTGGCTTCATGGTCGGCGGCACAGGACTCTGCACTTAACAAGGGCATCGCGATTGGCCTAAGTCTCCGCTATCGCTCTTCTGAAATCCCCGTAATTCCTCGACAAAGGCCGGGCCTTTCCATGTTGCGTTGGGCCCTGCAAATCATGTAGCCAGCCCCGGCAGGATCCCCCTTCCAACCAAGGGCTTCGGAACAAGGCAGGCCGGGGTCCCGGCACGAGCTCCCTGACTCACCTATGCTGTGACCTGGAGCAAGTGACTTCACCTCCCTGGGACTCACGTTTCTTAAGACGAAGAACAAAAATAACCTCATAGTGATGTGATAAAAGGTGAGCACAAAGTACGTGCCCCCGAATCGTACTGTAATTTGTTACATAAAGTACTTACCACGGGCCCGACACAGAGTAATCCTCCAGCGGGGAGGACGCTGGTCTCCGGCCAGACGCCCACAGATCAGACGCCGCTGATGGACGGCTCTCCTCCCCACCCTGCTTCCTGTGCACGGCTCTGGAGGGCAGAGCGGGTAGGTACTCGGCTGGGATGCGCACACATACGCTCCGCCTCCCCCTGCCCTGACCCCTCGGAGGAACCTGCCTCTGCCTCTCTCCAGATACAAACACCGTCCGTCCCCCCACCCCGACCCGGACCCGCGTGGTTCTTCACAACAAGCCTCCGGGGAAGGGAACGGCGTGGGCGGCCCGTGAGCGTGGGCTGGTCCCTGCCGGGATCCAGAGGTACATCCTGTTCTGGCGTTGCCATGGCACAGCCGAACATCTGCCACAACAAACGGCTGTGGTCGGCGGCTGGCAGTGGGGCCGGGGCCGGGCAAGGGAGGCTGAGGCTGAGAGCGCGTGAGACCGAGAAGGACTCGAGCCGGACAGCGATCTGGGAAACCTCCCCGGCACCCCCGCCACCTCCCCGCGACACGTGCACGCGCAGGCGCGCACACGCATGCGCACACTGTGTCTAGGCGGCTTCCAGGGACTCGGCCCCGTAGGGAAGAAGAATTCCCGATTCCCGATTTTCTTCCTGGAGATCCTGGGAGAAGATCGCTGGCCAGCGCGAAGCCTTAGCAGGGCTTCCCCTCCTCTCCTCACCCCCCCTCCCCCCCCCCCCCCGCCCCCCGACTGCCCCGAATTCTCATCCTGGTCTAGCTCGCTCACAGCCGGGCTCCCAGATCTGCCCTAGGCCCCATCCCGCTCCTAAAATGGAATTTGCTTTCCTGGTTGTTATTGTTGTTTTTCCTGATTAGAAAGTAAAACACAGTCATTGTATCAAAATCACATGATGTCCACAGCGACAATAGCTGCGCTCCTGGTGCATGAGCCAGCGGCTGAGCCACATACCTCTCATTAAAAATACGCATGCATAAAAGGCCCGTGGTACTTGCTATACATGCATTTGTCAAAAAAAGAAAACCAAAAAAACAAAAAAAAACAAAAAAAAAACCTGTTAAAATCTGATCCCGAACGTCCAGCTGGGAATGCAGGTATTAACACATTTTCTACAGGAAGAAAACAGAAGCTCAGGTAGGTGACCTGCCCGAGGTCACTAGTGAGTGTCTGATCTGGAGTTGAATCCAGGTTATACCAACACTAGAGAGCTTTAAGCCCAGAATCTTCCACCACCCCCACCACCCCCGCCCTTTGCTGCTTCTCTTAGTTTCTTGAACACCTCCTCAGGTCCACTCCTTTTTTCAGGCCACACGCCCCCAGTGCTGACCTCATTCCTGCTGGAAGCCCCAGAGGTCCAGCTGAGGTCATGGTTCTGGTCCTAGACTTATGAAGGCCACACCCTGTCTGGGGCCTTTGGGCCCTCCCCTGTTTGCCTGTGTTCCTGCCCTCCAAGAGCTTGAGCACTCTCCCCGGGCCTGCCCAGGGCCCAGACTTCAGCGGTACCACACCTCTTCCCTCTGCCCACTTTCTCCGCCCTGCAGTGGCAGCTAGGTTGAGATCATAACGTTAGTTATAACAGGTGACAAGTCTTGAGCCACACCAGACAAGGTGGTTTTGTCATCACCATTGTTCAGGTGAAGAGACTCAGAAGTTGAATGATTTACCCGGGTAGCCCAGCCAGAAGGGAGACAGACTTCCAGAACCACCTCTTCCAGGAAGCCATCCCTAACAGCAGCCGGCCCTCCACTCCCCACCCCCCACTCCCTACCCCCACCCGCATCTGGAAGAGAGAAGTATTTAGTCGGAGTACCCCACTGGCCTGTGCAAGACTGTAAGCCCCTTAGGTTGGGTGCTGAGTCAGGTTTATTGTGGCTCACGCTGGGTCTGACATAATAGGCACTCAATAACTATTTGTTCGATGAACGGATAAATAAATAAATGACGAATGATGGGGCTCACCTCTTCCCCTCTGGGGCCATTAGAGGTTCGGGGGAGGCCGGTAGATCTCGTTGAATCTTTCCTCTGCTGCTTCCTGGCCGTGTGACGTTGGCCCAATTACCTAACCTCTCTGAGCCTCCGTTTTCCTCTCTGTAAAATAGGGTTACAGTCTGTGGGGAGGAGTGGAGATGACCTACACTGACTGCACAGGGTAGGTGTTCAGTAAACAACACTGCAGAGAGACAATTCAGGTTCAAAGTCAGGCGGTGAGGGTTCCAAATCTGAGCTCCAATACCGACTGGCCGCGTGGCCTCGGACAGCTCACTTTCCTTCTCAGGCCGCGTTTTCCAGATCTGTCACTTGGGGATAATAACAGCACCAATCAGTTGGTGTGGTTGGGATTAAATGAGCATCCACATAGTAAGTCCCCCATAAACATGGGCTTCCGTGATTTGGGGTGAGTTCTCCCACTTTTTCTACTCTACCCCAGGGCCTTGCTCCATACCAGGCACATGGTGGGCGCTGAGATTGCTGAAGGAACTGAATCTCATTTCTGTGGCTGTTTGGCTGTGGGCCCAGAGAGCCGAAGCAGTTCCCAGAACGCCCTCCCCACCCGGAGCCGGCTCTCGGGTGTTTTTCCACTTCACTTCCCGACTAAATGGGGATGGAGCCAAGGCCCTGTCTCAGCCTTTGTGCTGAGCCCAGTGGAGGTGGGATGGCAGCTCCTCCCGGCTAGCCTCTCCCTGCAGAGGCTGGAAAGGAGGTAGGGAAGGTTGGAGTGGCAGTGGAAGCCCCTCCAGAGTTAGGCCTGCACCCCAAGAGGTTGAAGCTAGTCAAACAGGAGAGCAGGGTTCAAGCCGAGCACCACTACTCCTAGCTGTGTACCTGTGGACATGTCACCCCACCTCTCTGAGCCTCACTTCCTGCACATTGGACTGTCAGTAACACTAGTGCCCTCAAAGGATTGTTGGGAAGCAGGTGAAGGGTGAAGCATATAGTAAGTGCTCTATAAATGTACCTGTGGAGCATACAGTAAGTGCTCTATAAAGGCACTCGCAGATGGGGCCACAGTTTTTACAGGATAGCTCCTGTCTCCAAAGACGGGGAAACTGAGGCCCAGAGAGGGCCAGTGACTTGTCCAAGGTCACAGAGCGTGTATCTTGCTGGGTCCAGCTGTAGCCTTAGCCATTCTCCCTGCTCAGCCCCAAAACAATCAGCAGGGCCTGGCTTCTGGGTAGACAAGGCAGGGGTCTCCCTAAGGCTGAGAGAGTGGGTGGGAGGGGTTGGAAGAGAGCAGTAGAAACAGCCCCTTTGCTGAGGTCCTTGTTTTCTCATAGGGAGGTGAAGGGGAAACACGAGGTCAGCAGCCTCTGGGCTTGGGGTGTTATTAGAAGTTCCCAAAGTGCAAGAAGGAAGGGCCCCTGTCACTCATGTCCCCACCCCTGTGGGTCCAGAAGCCTCCCAGGGGTGGCAACAGGGTGTCCGGATGGTTTCTGCAGCCCCAGGAGGCAGGGAGGGGGTCTCTCTAGGCCAGGTTGGGGACTATGGGCAGCGCTGCCTTCTACAGCCCCGCCCACAGGATGCTCCCCTGCCCGCCTGCCCGGTCCCCTCCCAGGGACCCCAGGGACCACTCTCTTCCTCCTTCTACCTGGCCCACGATACACAGTCTGGAGGAGACCACGCGTGGCCCGGCGCCTCCTGAGTCCTCCGGCCTCCAGTGCAAGCATCCCAGCTGCGGGCCCTGCGTGCCTGCGGGCCTCCGGGTGCACCGTGTCTAGTGGGGTGAGGGGCGTGGCTGAAGGCCAAGGCAAAGAGCAGGTGCACTGAATACAATCAGGTCCCACAGGCAGGGTTTGAGACAGGCTTGGCGGTCTACACCAGATCACCCAGCTCACCTCAGCATCCCTGTGGGCCTGGCTGTGTCTTGTTTATCCCCGCTCGAGAGACAAGGAATTGAAATGGTAGTGATTCAGCCTCTCCTAATCTCACAAAGGCTCCATCCGGGCCAGCAGGACCTGGTCTCGCCTGCAGGCATCCAATTCCTCTCGGCTCTGACTCCAAGGCTCCATTCTTCACACTTCTCCTCCTTTGGGGATTAAAGAAAAAAAAAAAAAAAAAAGACAAAACAAACAAACGAACAAAAACCAACCATGAAGTGATTTAAAAAAAAAGAAATCAAAACCCCCACCGTTCTCAAGTGCAAGTAATTTAGGCAGAGAAAAGGAGCACGGGGTGCTGGTCACGTTCCTGTGGTGTTTCCAAATTTACAGCCCAAGTATCTTGCCGTCATCCCGTTCCCAAATGCGGTACCTTGTGAATCTGCGGTAGTGTGATCCTGACAGCCATTTACTATGCTTTTCTCGTGTGCCGTATACCTTGCTAAGCGTTTAAGCGGGATCTCGTGGGGCACCTGGGTGGCTCAGTCGGTTGAGCGTCTGACTTCAGCTCAGGTCATGATCAAGTGGTCCGTGAGTTCGAGCCCCAAATCGGGCTCTGGGCTGATGGCTCAGAGCCTGGAGCCTGCTTCCCATTCTGTGTCTCCCTCTCTCTCTGCCCCTCCCCCGTTCATGCTCTGTCTCTCTCTGTCTCAAAAATAAATAAACGTTAAAAAATTAAAAAAAATAAATAAATGGGATCTCGTTCGACCTCATGGCAACCATGAGAGGTAGGCCCCACAATGCTCTCCTTTTTGCGGTGAGGAAATGGAGGTACAGAGAGGCAGGGGGGCCTGCCCAAGGCCACACAGCATGTCCTCGGCAGAGATGGAAATCAAAAAGGGGTCTGCTCACTGCCAAAGCCTCATCTGCCAAACTGCTTCGATGGCGCTAACATGATAACAGGAAGTCTTGCTCGTTTTCTCCATCTCCTCTGGCTTGACTGAGGCGGAGGAAGGGTTAGCATCCAATTCTCTCACCCCACCAGCGTCTTCTCCCTGAGGGATGTGACTGTCCCAGGCCCTGGGAAAGGACTTGGTTTCAGCTGCAGGGGGCCGCCGCAATCTGGCGACAAGAAAAAACTGTATTTGCATCTTTGAAAAGCTTGAGTCCTGGGAGCCTCAGGGAAAGAGGGACAGATGGGGCCATAGATTTCTTCCAGAAATGGTCTCATTTTCTTTGCAATCCCTGGATGGCTAATGTATTGAGGGTCAAGAAGAATGACTGGTCATTTCTCACTGAGCTGGTGGAGGGCAAGGGGGCAGGGGACAAACGTCTGTTTCTAATTAGCAGGAAATGGTAATATCTCTGCGGCCCTTCCTTATCCTGGGTGCTCCAGAAGATTCTCAGTGTCCCAATCAGTGTAGGTGGATGAAAACCAGTCCCTGACGCCTAGCTGGACCATTTACTACCCAGAATCAAACCCTGTAGGCAGCCGCTAAACCTCCGGTTTGAAACTAGCCTGGTGAAAGCGTATCTCAGCCATGCAGGCACTCAGTCACCAAAATGCTCAGCGTCAATTTTCTGGGAGTGTCGTGGAGAGAGCAGCCCAGCAGGAAGGATTTATACGTGAAGAGCCAGCTCCCTTCCCTCGTCGGTTCCACTTTTGGGCGCCCTGAGCCACAATCTGCTACCTATCCTACGCAATCCGACGCCCACCCACAGAAATCACCAGGGCTCAGAGTCTGATGATGTCTTAATGATGTCTTCCCAGATCTTTCTCTCGGCACATGCACACAGATCATCGTGATTCCATTGTGTGGCTTCTCAAAAGAAGGACGCATAGGTTGTTTCCAATTTCTTCCCGTTGAACAACGTTGCGGTGAACACCTTTATGCCTAATGCGTTTGTAGCACCTGCCATCCTTCCTTAGACCCGATTCTCAGAAACGGTAGCCTATCTCCAACGGGGGCCCCAGCAATCCACGCTTGCTCATAGTCACGTCTTTAGGAAGCTGATTCCATATCGAATCAGGGCTGGCCTGCATAGGCATAAATGACAGTGTGTGACTTTCAAAGCTCAGTCATAAACGGCATTGCAGCCTCTGCCGTGGGCTCTTGAATGTCTCAGTCTGGGGAAGCCGGCTGCCATGTCATGAGGACCCTCAAACAGCCAGGGAAGATGCCCACCTGACGAGAAACTGAGGCCTCCCGCCAACGGCCACACCAGCTTGTTAGCCATGTGGGCGAACCAACTTGGAAGCAGGGGTGGGGTCTCAGTGAAGACTTCCACGGACCGCAGTCCCGACTTTCATCTGCCTGCAGCCTTCTTTTTTTTTTTTTTTTTTTTAAATTTTTTTCTTTTCAACGTTTATTTATTTTTGGGACAGAGAGAGACAGAGCATGAACGGGGGAGGGGCAGAGAGAGAGGGAGACACAGAATCGGAAACAGGCTCCAGGCTCTGAGCCATCAGCCCAGAGCCCGACGCGGGGCTTGAACTCACGGACTGCGAGATCGTGACCTGGCTGAAGTCGGACGCTTAACCGACTGCGCCACCCAGGCGCCCCTGCCTGCAGCCTTCTAAGGAGCCCTCCCCCCGAGCCACACAGTGAGGCGGCTCCCAAATTGTCAACCCGCAAGAGATGATAAATGATTTTGTTGTGTTGAGCTAATACATTTCGGGTGATTTGTGTTACAGCCGCGGATAATTCATAGACTGGGCTGAAGACCAGACCACTTTCAAGACTCCTCATGGAGTCAGGAGTCATTCTTTCTTTCCTTTTCATTCTGCCAGATTGTCAGCTCTTACACTGACTTGCAACTAACTGGTCTGATGATCTCAAGTGGCTTCCTGATAGGAGTTCCTATCAGTTCTGGGGATGCAGAGCTTTGGAAAGCCCCATATGTGAGCAACAAGCCCTCCGCACGCTGTTCCCACATGAAGATTGATTTTTGATTTGTGGCCGTGTGCACTTCAGGGAGAGATGTTCCCGGCTTGTGTCTGTGCCCAGTTAAGCCATCTAATAGCCCAAGCCAGGCAGCAGAGAAAGCCAATCCTGTTATAAGTTAACTGCCCCCTTTCTTTCTCTGGATTCTCAAAAACTTTTTAAGGAGTGTAAGCAAAAACATCTGGCTCA